GCAATGAGGCAAGGGTCGAGACTTTGCTAGACAAGAAGGAAGATCACGACAACCCCCGAATGGGCGCACTCAAATTCTTGTCAGCCCTCCAATGGAAAGTCGAACCGAAGGAGATAATAGAGAAAGGACTCATGTTTGTAAATGCCACAATAAACTCTCAACCGAGCAAGAGCACTCTGATAGACTCTGGAGCAACCCACAACTTCATTGCCGATCAAGAAGCCAAAAGATTGGGACTCACCATAGGAAAAGACCCGGGGAAAATGAAAGCTGTCAACTCCGAGGCCTTGCCTATTGTGGGAGTTTCCAAAGGAGTCCCCTTCAAAATAGGGGATTGGACTGGAGTGCTAGACCTTGTCGTGGTTCGCATGGACGACTTCGACGTGGTACTTGGGATGGAGTTCCTCCTAGAACACAAGGTCATCCCAATGCCATTGGCAAAATGTTTGGTGATCACCGACTGCAACCCCACAGTAATACCTGCAAGCATCAAGCAACCAGGTAATCTTCGAATGATCTCGGCCATACAGCTGAAAAGGGGACTCGCACGAGAGGAACCTACATTCATGGCCATACCACTAATAGAAGAAGCAACCACCGAAGAGACTATCCCAGAGGAAATCAAGGAAGTACTAGACAGCTATACAGACATAATGCCAGAGAGTCTACCACAAACACTACCACCTCGTCGAGGCATTGACCATGAAATTGAACTCTTCCCCGGGGTTAAGCTGCCAGCGAAGAACGCATACCGGATGGCTCCGCCCGAGCTAGCTGAATTGAGGAAACAACTGGACGAGTTGCTAAAGGCGGGATTCATTCGCCCAGCAAAGGCACCTTATGGAGCCCCCGTACTGTTCCAGAAGAAGAAGGATGGGACGTTGCGTCTGTGCATAGACTATAGAGCCTTAAACAAGGTGACGGTATGCAAAAAATATCCTCTGCCGATAATATCCGACTTGTTCGACCAACTTCATGGGGCCAAGTACTTCACGAAGTTGGACTTACGATCAGGATATTATCAAGTACGTATTGCCGAAGGGGACGAACCCAAGACGACGTGCATAACAAGATATGGGGCCTTTGAATTCCTAGTAATGCCCTTTGGCTTGACAAACGCCCCAGCTACGTTCTGCACGCCCCCTTCAATTCCGTGCAGGAGATCAAGTCCTTATCAAGCTGAGACCAGAACAGATCAGATTTCGTAGCCGAAAGGACCAGAGACTAGTTCGTAAATATGAAGGCCCAGTTGAAGGTCTTAAAAAGATCGGGGCTACCTTCTACCGAGTTGCACTACCCACATGAATGAAAATCCACCCCGTCATTCATGTGAGCAACTTGAAGCCCTACCACCCTGATCCAGACGACGACCAACGAAATGCAACCACAAGACTGAACATCGATCTGAAGCAAAAAGAAACAAATGAAGTGGAAGAGATCCTAGCCGACAGGGTTAGGAAGATAGGAAGACCTATACGGACGATTCGTGAATTCCTTGTCAAATGGAAGAATCTCCCTACAGAGGAAACAAGTTGGGAACGCGCCGAAGATCTGAACTCCACCGCCACCCACATCGCAAGGTATGAAAGTAGTCGGTTGACAGGGACGTCAACCAATTAGGTGGGGGAGGATGTCACGGTCATGCTCGTCCAGGGCATGTTGTCCATGGCCGCATGCCCATGACAAGCCAAACCCTTGTCATGTCTTTTCATTCTGGTGTTTTTCCTTTTATAATTCTAGGGCGTATGACGCCTCAAAAATATCATGTCTAGGCCTGCCAGAACTAAAATGGCCCAGAATGTACTATAGGGGGATATGACTAGTCGTCAACTTCTCCCTACCCAAGGTTATATATGTTAAGCCGTTGTTGTCTTTCTCTTGCTTGCTTATATAACGTCTCTTTCTAAAATCTCTCTCTCTCCTCGTTTTCTAAAACCTTCTTTTAAAACCGAGGCTAGAGGCTCGACCGTACGTCGCTTGGCTGTAGGCGACGCAAGAACAAATTGGCTTAACTCACTTGTCGCTAGAAAGTGAGTGCCGCACAATCGCTAGTCCGCTGCCTTCGAAAGCGCGATTGTGTCACTAGTCACAATTTGCAAGCAAATATATGAAGCTCCGAGTAAACCAAGTTAGTTTTTCTTTTCTTTTTATTTATGCACCTAGATAGTTGTTTCTAAATAGCTATCTTCACTTTCCTTAGAATGATATATATATTTTTTTTTATAATTTTATTTTACTTGTTGTTGTGAATAACTCGCATATCCCAAGGAAGTTAGCCAATTTTGTAGATGAATTAGGGGGATTTAGATGTGGTTAGGAATGCTAATTCACCATATAAAGGAAATTAATTACACTTAGTGCATGCTAGGATGTGATTGATGACAAATATTATTCTCTCGTAGTGCACGTTGCCACATAGTTTTCTTGTCCAGTTTCATTTGCATGTGGTTTTATTTCATTTTAATGTTGTTCACTTTCTCATCCATTACATGCCAAGGCACCACCACCAAAGAAAATTTTTTAGGAACATCCTAAAAGATTTTCTAATCCCCCAAGGAAAGAAATTTATATGGAAAAGAGAAATGGACAGAAAATAATCCTTCTACGTTCTCGGGTAAGCTTGAATTGTTAAGAAAGGAGCTGCTAAACATCATAGTTCACCTACAACAGTAGACATATAACAGCAGTACCAACAGCTGGACTGATAGCAGATTTACAACAGTAGTATTTCCAAGTTTCTGGAGAAAATTTTAAAAGAATGGAGCCGCAAAGAATCTTCACGATGTCTAAAGATAAGAGAATTCTCTAAACACACCCTTTACAATCTTATTATCTTATTTTGAAGCATGCATCCATATATTGTTGTCTGCTTTTGTTTTGTTGACTGCATATAATTTTGAAAGATGTCCATGCATGCAATCTAGAAGCATGAAGTTTTAGGAAGGGTAATAGATCATGCATATTTTTCCTATATGTAGTCATGATGTTTTGTGCAAGAACCAGGGATGTATTGTCAAATGGGATAAATAAAACAGTAAGGTGAGTGGAGTGTTTTTCTAAAAGAAAAAATGGTTAAGGAAATTGAAGCTCACATTGAAGAGTATTCATCAAAGTTAAGGTGAGGATCCAATCTATCATAATCCACCTTAATCAGAAAGAATTCTCATAATTCACCCAACCTTTAAACCATTTTCCCAACACAAACAATAACCAAGA